TGGAAAAAAAAAAAAAAAAAAAAAAAAAAAAAAAAAACTGAGCCCCAATAAAAGACAACCTAAATCAGGCTGGAGGAATTTCAGACTGTGAGAAAGCAAGCTGCTAGATCTGTTAGGTCTTTTTACTAAATGGAAATCCTCTGTAGTGGCTGTAACTCCAACCCCTGGGAGGCTGATGCTGGAAGACTGCCACAAGTCTGAGGCCAGACTGGGCTGCAAAGAGAGTTCCAGTCCAGCCAGAACTGGGTAGCAAGACCCTGACTTCAAAAGAAGTTAAAAATCAGCTGGGTGTGTTAATGGCAGTCAGAGGTTGAGTCAAGAGGACTGTAACTTTGAGGCCTGCCTGAGTTGCATACAGAGCAAGACTCTATCTCAAAAAGAAGAGGGCTGGAAGGAGAAAAAAAAAAAAAATTGTAAAATGCATTGGGCCCTGTCCTACATGGCTAGAATGAATGGTAAGTTACTACCGACCAAGTCCCCACACAGAAATCACTGTCTGCTTAGAACTTCAATGTGCCTTCGTATTTGGATGCCCCCAACCCCTGCAGCATAATTAAACACATGATTCCTAAGAACTTCGGTCTTGCTCAGCTGCTAAGCCCAGTGACTGACAACAGTAACTAACCACTCTCTGCTGCCGGCTGCCAAGAAGCGGGTAAACCCTGAACTTAGCAGGTTACAATGTAATCAACACATTTGTGATCCTAAAAGAAACATCACCCTGTTCAAGAGGGAAAATGTGATGGAAAAGGGAATATACAACAGTGCTCAGGAAAGCTGCAGATGACTTTTGGAAAACCAAAGCCACTGCCTAAGCTCCAACCTTTGAAGAAAAATCCTCTGGGCGCAGGGTGGCCAAAGGGGGCAGGGTCGTTTCTGAAACCAGAGTGAGACTTGCACTAACTGCCTGTCAGTCAGTACAGAGTAAAAAGCAGAATAAAATGACACATAACCAAGGTTACAGGGTATCTAGAAATACGTTTCATGATTTAAAAAAATTGCAACGCACTCCAAAAAAATTTTTTTTCTGATAATTCATGTACAACAGAAGGCACTGTTATCCGCATAAATCCACTGATTCTGCATGGCAAAAACCTGAGACGCATGCGCCGTACCTAACTCTAAACCCCTCAGCGTTCGTCCTTCCGAGCAGACGCTTTGTCCTTTCTGATCAATGATTCTGCTTTTCTTAAACTTCGTACATTACAGTAGCTGTTGAAAAATACGTATTCCAGGTTAGAAGGAACAAGGGAAGGGCGAGCGAGTCCACGGCTGCCTGATGCCGATGACACAGCCCCTTGCTTCCCTCTCTCTCGGCCCTCTCGCATCCCGTGAAATATGCAGCAACGGTGATGATGGTCGGTGAACGGTTGGATGCGCCTTTCGGTTGTTGCTGGGCGCGACCCCAAAGGTAAAGGCAGAGAAGATGCCCTTGTCCTCAAATGTGAAGCCTCCCTGCTACTGAACAGAGAGGGGAGGGAAGACATAAAAGGATGTTTAAGGTGAGAGTATAGAAGAAACCTTCAAGTGCCAGACTTTCATGAAGTGGACTGGTTTTAGTTTTGTTTCCAGACAGGCTCTCATGTAGCCCAGATTAGCAGCTAACTCACTATGTGACTGAGGATGGCCTTGAACTCCTGATCCCCCTGCCTCTGCACCCCAAGTGCTGGGATTATATACACCAATTCCCCTCCCCACCTTGTTGCCATGCCTGCCTCTTTTCTATGGATTTACGACTTTAAATGAATGCGATTCCTCGTATTAGTGGTGCCATCTAAATGAATGCCAGCCTTTAACAAAACCATACTGACAAGCAGTTATGTTTACCCTGGAAAAACTGTTTGCTAAAGTAAGTGAAATGTAAACAGTTCTGAAGCTGGGAGCCAAGGGCTGCAGGTTCCACTCAGCATCAGATGCTGACAAAACATGCATTGCTCCCTACCCCAAACAGTGACACTGAAGAACAGTCCTCAACTAAAACTCCCATCTCCCACTGAAATAGTTTGTAACCACAAAATCTTTCCCACTAATGACCCAGGAGTGAGCTCAAAATCCCAACATTAAACAATTTCTCCTTCATAAAAGCTGAAAATTGACAAGTTGCCAACAAATATAAATGAGAACTTGCTCCATTTTGGGTCATAAATGTCCCAAGTCCACACGATGAACACTGGGTTCCCAGACTCTGGCACTACAGGAGGTAGCAGAGCCTTGAAGAGGAGAGGCCTTGTGGGAGGAAGTGAGGTTTCTGTGTGTGTGTGTGTGTGTGTGTGTGTGTGAGAGAGAGAGAGAGAGAGAGAGAGAGAGAGAGAGAGAGAGAGAGAGAGAGTCAGTGTGCATGTAAACACATTTGCCGAGTGTATGCAATATGTGTGCAGGTGTCCAAGAGGCCAGATGTGAGTACTGGGAACCTAATCTGGGTCCTCTACAAGAGTAGCAAGTGCTCTTAATTGCTCAGCCCCCTCTTGAGCCACACAGGGTGTGATTTTAAAGGGGATACTTGGAGTCCAGTCCCATTCTCTCTGCTGCTGCTGCTGAGATCCCTGGAAACCAGCCCATTTCCTCCACCTCACACTCCTCCCAGGAGACACGACCTCACCAGAGGCTCAAAATCAAGGGACTGAACCAAGAGTCAAAATAAAACCTTCTCCTCTTAAGTTGATCTCCTTAGGTACCAAGTAACATCAGTGATAACCTGAGCAACGTGGCATTTCATTTTCAAGAATACAAGCTCTTTCTAAGATCCACAGGGTGCTTTTTGGTCCATCTGTTGTAGATGTTAGGTGGATACTGGGCTGACAAAGTCTTTCTCAGAAAGACTTGTCCCAACCCTTACTTCTCCAAAACATGAGGAGGATGTGAGTTGGGGAAACACTAATAACCCCTACCCAGAAATGATGTTGAGAGAGATACAATATTATGATTAAAAAGAACCATCAAACTGGGCCTAGTGGTACAGGGACATGCCTATAATCCAGCTACTCAGAAGGTTGAGGCAGGAAGATCACAAGTCCAAAGATTATAAATTTGAGGCTAGACCAGAACATCTCATTTTAAAAGAAAGGAAAAAGCTGGGCGGTGGTGGTGCTCGCCTTTAATTCCAGCACTCGGGAGGCAGAGGCAGGCGGAGCTCTGTGAGTTTGAGATTACCCTGGTCTACAAGAGCTAGTTCCAGGACAGCCTCCAAAGCCACAGAAAAACCCTGTCTCAAAAAACCAAAAAACAACAACAACAACAAAAAACAGTAGGCATGGTGGCATACACCTTAATGAGGGTTGAGGCAGGAGGATAGTGAGTTTGAAGTTAGCTTGGACTATGCAATGAGTTCCAGGCTACAAAGTAAAACCCAATCTCGACGGAGACAGAGACAGAGAGAGAAAGACTGGGAGGTGGAAGGACTAGGATCATAGCTCACTGGTACATTATTTGCCCAGCATGTACGAAGCTCTGAGTTCAAACTCCAGCATCTCAAAAAGAGAGAAAAAACAAGCCCAGGAGAAGTAACACAGACTAGTAACTCTAGCACACACAGATGAAAATAGGAGGATTACACACTCAGGCCAGCTCAGGAACATAGCAAGATCCTGTCTTAAAAACAAAACAATGGGATTGCTCATTTTCACGAAGGGCTGCTCTTCAGCCATTTTAATTAAGTGTGGCACATGGCAGCCACCGGGGGACTGACCTGCCATTGTCCGTCGATGCTCTGCCACTGTGTACACCTCCTGAAGCTTTCTCTTCTGGTCCTCACTGAGTGGTGCCACCAGCAGCTGATACCAGGCGGCATCCCGATTCTGCACAGCTATGGGGTTTCGGGGGGGTTTGGAGAAGGAAAGGGGAGACAGCCAGCGACCATTATTATCTCAGGAAAAGTAAGTGGCACGATCAGATCTCAATGAAGTTAGTAAGACACGGGATAATAAAACTGATCCCGATCCCAACAGACAATCACTTCTGAGGGCCCACTCACCCAACCGAGAGGATCCACAAGGAATGTCCCCGTTACAAATGTGTGATTTCCCTAATTCTGTCCTTTCTATCTTCTTTTTCTGCAAGTTTTCCCAGATATATATATATATATATATATCCCAGAATGCCTGACACTGGGAAACACCTGGGCTCACCTGTTACCGTCCTCCTGGAATCTTCCTAGTATCTTCGTACCAGCTCTGTTTCTACACTGAGGGCCCAAGTCTGCACCCTTAGGCAAAATCCTTCCCCTTTATTCCTGGACTTTTCCAACTAAATGCTTCAAACTTAACAAGACTGAAACCAAGTTCAACATCTTTCTAAATGCTTTCACTCTCCCATTTTTATCACAGCTCTAAACCCTTCCTATCTGTAGCCATGCCCAGCCCACATCAAACTCTGCCTGTCTCTTAACGTCCTCTACCTACACACTCTTCCCACCAGAGTCCACACTGTGCACCTGGGTCTAACAATCTCACGTTGCTTGGGATCCTGAAGATCCACCCCACTCTGTGCTGGGCAAAAAGAAGCCTTTATTCAAGGCAGTCACCCTCAGTTCTATGCCATCCTCCCCAGGAACTCCTGCCCACGCTTGTCAACAGACAGCCATGCAACCCCAGCAGGGGACCTTCTAAACTGTTGTGCATGTTCAGGCTGCACTTGAGACCCAAGAGCTCCTGTGGTGGTCAGGGTGCATGCTGTGTCTACAGATGACCATCCTGGAGCATACCTTCCTATCCCTATCTCCACAGCTGGCTTTCAAAGCACTCCTATACTTGTGTCAGAACTAAATAATGGCGGTGTGTTATGCTGGCATTGCCTAGTTGGCAAAAGTAGTAGGCGCGCCTGAGAATATTAAACATCTAATAGTAGAAATAAATGATAACACACAGAACTACTATTTAACCATAAAGCAAATAACAGACATTAGTTAAGGGTTTTTTTAAGTACAAGTTATAGGTTAATAATTTTCTAAGTATTTCACTGGCTTATTCTCTATTTTTATTTGTAGGGAACGAGTGAATGAGTTGAATGTGTGTTGTTGACATGAGCACCGCTATGTCAAGGACACCAGAGCCTCAGCCCCATGGGAGCAGCAAAGCTTCTCTGGAGGAGGCTCAGAGTACGGCAAAGCTTTCCTTGGATCCATGTGCAAATATTGACAGTGTGTGCAGAAAATGTCCATCCTGGCTCGTCCCAACTCCTGCCACCCAACATTTACAGTTGTCTATAATAACCCCACCCCCTGTTCAACTGTGTATAACAAACTCACTGAGCTTCAAGGGTACTGCAGCTTCTTAACTAGAAAGCCCAACCCATCTGAATCCCAGTTTTCTCAGTGTTACTCTTCATTCCCTTGCAGTGGCATTATCTCTAAGGTTTCCATCCACATCTCCCTCTTGTGTTCATGTCTACTGCTCTTACTCATTTGGCAAGGCCTTTGAACACATGTGGCTTTAAGGAATCCTATAACTTACAAGTGTTACTCTCTGCACAAAGTCAGTGAAGTCAATGTAGAAAAGCATCCCTTCATTGGGTCTTGTCCTCTGTGTCTTCCCATAAGGACTTGGGAATAATTAACAGGCTCACAGCCACAGTGGTTGAGCACTGCATGCCTGGACCACTTTACCCGCAATTGTAAAAGTGGCCATTGTGAGTTCGTACAGTGGTGGACAGGCAGTGCAGCTCTGTGGCTGAGTTGGCATCATGTATGTCTCCCACCCCCGGGTCCACCATGACACCCAAGTGGAAGGTCAGCTCAAGAGGAGTGGCAAAGGTGGAGGAGCCCAAGCACCACTCTGCAAGGCTACTCCGCAAGGCTGTCAGCCGAGCCCATCCACCAAAGTGCACAGGAAGCCAAAAAAGGCCCCACCCGTCATGTCTGTCATTGGCCCCTGCCTCCCATCTTGTGCAATACAGAGGGATATTTTCTATCAACTATTTGTAAATTCAAGTTTTTTTAGCAGCTCTAGAAACGTTTTTAAAAGGTGGGGGAAATCATATCTTATCCTATTCTTTTTATGTGTAAACAATATTTTAAGAGGTTAAATCATTTGCTGGTTCCTTATTTTTTTTGGAACAACCAGAAAATAGCAGGACCCTGAATCAGGAGAGGCTGTGACTGTCTCGGGGGGCACTACAACATTCTGTTAGAGGGGGATGGTTTTACATCCTACAATGCAAAGCATACGAAGCGGTAACTTAGGAGTCTTGGTTCTGCATTTGTGTCTAGAGTATTTTCAGTTATGTCTGGTCTTGTGTTTCTAGTAGAATATATATATATTATATATATTCCTCGGTCCTTGCCCTTGCCCTTGCCCTGTCAGAACTGTAACGTCTCTGGTCATGGCCATCTGTTTTCCTAACAACTGTGATTATAATGGGCTGTGGCAGAAAACTGTGGGTCAGTGGGATGGAGGATTGTAAACATCTGAGTGTTACATGAGGTCTTAGGGAGAGCTTGACACCTGTGAGGCTGGAGAATCACTGGAACAAGTTCAAGGAGAAACAGCACATGGCTCTCCATGGGTACGTGGACACAACGTATGACTCTTCGGAGATTGGGTGCATGTATTAGGAATTGAAATGTCTGTGTTCTCTGCTCCTCAACCACTAACATCTCATTTGTGAAAGAGAAAACAGCCATTCTGACACTTGTGCTGAACATGACATCTGTAAAGATGGCTGGCAAGCCCATCCTGATGCTGCTACTACAGCAATGGGAGTCTAGGATTGCTTTTTGAGTGTGTCATGATGCTAACCTTTTGCATTTTAAGTATGTTTGGATATTTTTCTAAAGCAAAAGACAAAATCTCAGAGAATCTATACCAGTATGGGAGCAGATCCCAAAACAACTTCTAACAGGAAGAAATTAAAAATGTTAAAAAACAATCTTCAGGTTTGGGGAATGGAGGTGGGGGGAGGTGAAGACATACTCAGTAGAGCTTGTGTAAAAAACTGGTACTCATCCACACTGTTGTCAAGGTCCAGTGGGGTGCTGAAGCCCTCGAGGGCTGTCTCCTCCAGCACTTCTTCATCCCAGTCGTCCTCTTCTTCCTCTTCAACTCTGCCATTGTGTGACTGCATAGCTTGAGCAGTAACACTTGTCTCCTCCTCCTCCTCACTGGAAATCTCCTCTGTGAGCCCATTAATTGTGTAAAAGAATGAAAAACAAGGATTATGAAATAATCTGGAAATGTGAAACCACCACAGAATCCTAGTTTGTTGATAAAGTTTGTCTAAACCTTAAGTATCTTGAAATTGTACTTTTTGAAGACAAATTACCCAAGAACCACTTTAAAAAAACATCCATCTGTGTAACAATCTTGTACTGACAGTGTATACCTAATCTAGGGAGTCATTTAGTTAATGGTAGCTACTGTCACTGAGCTTGTTAGTATAAACAAAAAAGTTAAGTCTTAAGTTGCTAATTCATAGTCAAGACCATCTGATTCTCTTACATTTATGCTTCTCAAGGCAAAACCACATCGACTGAGCTCCACTTAGAAGTCACTGAGGGTTTTGGTATCAAGGGACACAGCCCCAGTTTAAATGTGTCGCAGGCCAAGGAAAGTCAGTCTGTTTAATGATTCCAAACTGATGGGGGAGATTTCCTTCTGTATATATTATTGCTTGACTGGCCAGTAGCCAGGCAGGAAGTATAGGTGGGGTTACAAGACCAGAGGAATTCTGGGAAAGGTAAGGCAGAGAGAGGTCAACTGGGGAGATGCCATGTGGTTGAGGAAGGAGTAACAGGTTCGGAGCTTTCTCTGGTAAGATAAGACCATGTGGAAATACTTAGATTACTAGAAATGGATTAATAATTAAGAGAAAGCTATCCAATAAGAAGCCCGAGCCATTGGCCAAACAGTTTCTAATTAATACAAGCCTCAGTGTGTTTATTTGGAACTGAAGGGCTGCAGGACTAGGCTGAACAGAAACTCCAATGACATCAAACAGGCTAAAATGTAAAGAAAATGTGTGCTCAAATCAAACTCCAGGTCAGAAATGATAGTGCATGCACATGGTCCCAGGACACAGGAGACTGAATCAAGGGGAATCATGAATTTAAAACTAGTCTGAGCTACAAAGCAAGACCTGTCTCAAAAAACAAAAAAGCACAGGCCAGTGAGATGGCTCAGTGAGTTAGGCACTTGCCTCCAAGCCTGAAGATCTGAGTTCAATCCCCAGGACCCATGTGATAGCAAAGAACCAACTCCTGCAAGTTGTCCTCTGACTTCCACACACATGCACACACAAACAAGTATAACTTTAAGTTTTTAAAGCAAAATCTGGGGCTGGAGAGATAGCTCAGTGGTTAAGAGCCATGGTTGCTCTTGCAGAGGACCAGGGTTTGGTTCTCAGACCAAACCATGGTGTTTCACAACAATCTGAATTCTAGTTCTAGGAGACTGAACACCTTCTTCTGGTCTGTACAGGGACCAGGCACACATATGGCACACAAACATGCATGCTGGCAAACACTCATGCACAAAAAATAATAATTTAATTTTTATAATATCAAATTAATGATAAACTGATTTTAAAAAGCAAAATGGACTATAGAGTGAATCATAAGTAGCAGGCTTTACCATTTTCCTCCATGTCGGCTTTCTCTGCTTTTGAGGGATCTCCGCGGTTTACCAGTTCACGGGTAGCACAGACCTGCTTCAGGCCAAGGAACAGGAAGAGAATGGAAGGCAGGATCTGTGCAGCCACTGCGTCCACAGCAGGAGGTCGGTGCTGCAGTTCCAAGAGGATGCTCAGTCCTATGATACACCTCTTCCGGTCGTGGTGTCTGCAGATGTTGGAAAATATGCAGATGTGGTCACAAAGGACAAACTCTTCCTAATGCTGTGACCCTTTAATACACTCCTTCATGTTGTGGTGATCCCCCAACCATAAACTATTTTCTTTTTCTTTTTTGTTATTACTAGTTTATTTTTTTCTCTTTTTTCATTAATTTAATTTTTACAATAGAACCCCAGTTCCCCCTCCCTCCTTTCCTCGCACACCTTGCACTCCCCCCTCCTCCCATCTGCTCCATGGAGAGGGTGAGGCCTCCCATAGTCTACTCCCAAGTCTACTAAGTCTGTCCCATCATCTCGTTGAGGCAGGACCAAGGCCCCTCTCCACCCCCCACACCTCTGTGTCTAGGCTGGGAAAGGTATCTCTCCATATAGAATGGGCTCCACTAAGTCAGTTTGTGCATTAGAGTTAGATCTTGGACCCACTGTCAGTGGCCTCATATATTGTCCCAGCCCCACCATTGCCACCTATATTAAGGGAGTCTAGTTTGGTCTTATGCAGGTTCCCCATTTGTCAGACCTGAGTCAGTGACCTCTCACTAGCTTGGATCAGCTGATTCTATGGGTTTCCCCATCATGGTCTTGACTCCTTGTTCATATTTTTGATCCTCCCTCACTTCAATTGTGCTCCAAGACATAAACTATTTTATGCAATTTTCCTAACTGTTAATCATTATGGAAATTATTTTTGGAGACAGAGGTTAGTCAAAGCGGTCGAGACCCATAGGTTGAGAACCACTGCTCTAGAAAAACTAAAGCAAGTGAAACCCTGCGTAAACCAAATTCTACAAACCAACCAACCAACCAACCAACCAACCAACTCTTATCACAAAGACCTGTGAGGGAGGTCAGGTGTGGTGTCTCATCCCTACAACCACATCTCTGAAGACACTGAGGCAGGGGTACTATAAATTCAAGGTAAACCTGGACTATAGAGCAATTTCAGGGCCAGCCTGGGCTGTAAGATAAGACTTGGTTACGGGACAGAGGACAAGGCTTACAGGAGTCTACAATTAGCATTTTGAATTTTGCAATAACACCACTTACAATTAATAAAAGAGCTGTATCTGAACGTTAACACAATGAGGTTTGTTAGAGCTGAAATGTCTACTTGGCAGCGTAAGATTCCTACACACTGGGAAAAATAATTCTGTAGACTTGCTCTCTTGGCCTGGTCCTCAAGCTTTCTTGGCAGATATGGTCCATCCACACCAACCCCAGGTGCCAAAAATACTTCAAGAAGTCAGCACCTAGCATATTGACCTGGTTGCCTACACACATCTACCATCAGCCTCTGCTAACAGAATAAGGAGATTTTAATTACAAAGGAAAAATGATTGGTCACATACTTTTCTATGAAATATTTCCTTTGTTTAAATACTTCAAAAATTAAAAAGACAAAAGCTAGGGGAAAAGAAACTCAGTGTTAAGAATACCAGTTCTTCTAGAGGACTTGAGATTGATTCCCAGTACCCACGAGTGGCTCATAACCACCTACAACACCAGCTCTGGGAGAGCCAAGACTTCTTCTGGCCCCTGAGGGTACCCAAACATGCATACACACATACACATGAATAAAAATAATTCCTAAAACCTTGTACTTAGAAGGTAGAGGCAGGAGGATCAATTATTTAAGGCCAGCCTAGGCACATGCAATATGTCTTGAAAACAAATAAAATTAAAAACAACTAATATTATACTATGCACTATACAATGTATCTTTCCATCAGGTGATACTTCAAAACATATTCCTAATTTTCTGGATTAAAGTGATGGCTCAGTAGGTAAAGGTTTAAGAACAGAACTGACTCCTGACAGCTGTCCTCAGACATTCCTCTATACACATGCCATGATACAACTGTGCCCACATACATACACTTCAAAAATTTATAAATAAAAATACACGAGAAATAGTCCCCAAGATATAAAGATTATCTCTCAACACATCACTGTATGAAAACTAAACTTCCAGCCGGGTGGTGGTAGCGCACACCTTTAATTCCAGCACTCGGGAGGCAGAGGCAGGCGAATCTCTGTGAGTTTGAGGCCAGCCTGCTCTACAGAGCGAGTTCCAGGACAGTCTCCAAAGCCACAGAGAAACCCTGTCCTGAAAAAACAAAAAAGCAAAAAAACAAAAAACAAAACAAAAAAAAAAAAGCAAAAAACAAAAACTAAACTTCCTGAAACATCGATGCCATATCAAACCAAAAAGGCACATACCCAAGGAAGTAATCGGTGTCATTCATCCACTGGTTTATGAACTGCGAGGTGACAGGTCCTGGGTTGTGTGGCAGCTGGACCTGCTCCAGGGTGTGCAGCAGCAGCTCAGGGTTGTAGTAAAGAGCGGCGATCGCCACCTGAAGACACATTGTGCGCAGCTCGCTGGTCTTGACCCCACGGGTCAATCTCTCCAAGACAAGTTGAACAAACAGCGGGATACACTGGAGGATGGGAAGGAAGCAAGAGTCACCCACACACTGCAGCCAAGAGACTTCCTGAAGGCTGATGCTGGCTGTATCTTTAATAAATGCATCTTTGTGACAGTAAAGTGTTTGCTTATTTCAACTGTGTGTAGGAGACGTTTAAAGACCTATGTTCCCATCAAACTCAGAGAGACCAACAGACTAAGTAGGCAAACAGTGGTAGTCTAAGAAGTCTCATTCCCTTTTATGTCCACGCTGAAGCCAGCAGGAGATTGAAAAGGTGTTCGCTCACTCAGCCACTTCCATGTTTAAAGTAAATGACAAAGACAGAACTGATATCCATCTGGAAATTAATGAATAAGACTATGAAGTGACCCATTTGTCTCTTGAAAAACAAAATCCTACTGCTACACATGAGAGCTCAAAAATGCTGGAGAAAACAAAACAACTGTGGGTCTCAAGTCCTCTGACTACAATGCTAACTCAAGCATTATTTCTCATTTAGATATTTAGTGTCCTTGGATTGGATAGGACTGGATTGGATCATACATGTCTGGTATCATTTACATTAAAATATACCAGCTGCCGGGTGTTGGTGCCTCACGCCTTTAATCCCAGCACTCGGGAGGCAGACACAGGCGGATCTCTGAGTTCAAGACCAGCCTGGTCTACAAGAGCTAGTTCCAGGACAGCCTCCAAAGCCACAGAGATACCCTGCCTCAAAACTCCCCCCCCCAAAAACCCCCCCCCCCAAAAAAAAAAAAAAAAAAAAAAAATCACCAGCCATGGTGCAATAATTAGTTAAGAATCAGTAAAAATCACAAGGAAAGATTAACTTTGAGCCATCTGTGGTGGGACACGCCTTTAATCCCAGCACTCAGGAGGCAGAGGCAGGTGGATCTCTGAGTTGAGGCCAGCCTGGTCTACAGAACAAGTTTTAGGACAGCCAGGGTTACACAGAGAAACTCTGTCTCAAGAACCAGCACCACCCAAAAAATAAATAAACAAATAAATAAATAAATAAACTCTGACATGTTTCAAAACTAAAGTTTAACAAATATTTACTGTCATAGTAAAGCCACCAAGAGTTAAGGAAATCCTTAAGTTTTAAAATTAATATAGCAATTATCCATTTCTGTTAAATTAAAGCAATACTGATGACTTAGGAAAATATATTCATAGAAATGTTTTATTCAATAGGAAATAAATAAATAAATAAATAAATAAATAAATGATCACCACCAATAGCACTGACATATTTCTACCAGCCCTCCTGGCAGAAATAACTCACAGGGACCTCTGAAGTATTCTTGACTAAAAAGACAAACCCTATTCCTCTAGCTGACAGGAAAGGCAGAGAAGCATCATGCCCATGCTATACCTGAGGGTGCTATGTGGTGTCCACACTAACATTCCATCACCTACAGTGCTCAGCTCTGAGCTTCCAATCCTCTGGAACCCAAGTCTAAAACAAGCTCACTGCATCACACCACTGACTCTTTACTGACACACAGGGTCACTGCAGATGAAGGCACTGATCCAAATACTTCCTACTTAGCACATCCCTCCAAACTGAAGCTGTCACCTTTTCCCACTTCATACAACTCTCCTAAGTTGATGATGATATAAAGTCATCAGACAACAATTTTCACATTCCCTCTATCTCAAGACACGTCACTGCATTATCTAAATAGCCCATTCAAGACCATCTATATGGCTCTGGGGTTTACAAAGCAAAACCATTCCATATTTAACTCGGAAAACAATATGATTATACCTTCCTAGACACACTCCAAATAGTCACACAACAGTTGACTTTTGTTTGGCCCATTTTCCCCTAGATTTGACCCTAGAAAAATTTTCCTTTTATGAACATCTATAACCACCTGTAGGCTGTAAGTGTGGGTGACATGACTCTGCTGCCCAATGGCCTCCTTACTCAGGGAAGGTTCCGCAGGCAAACCTAGGTTCTTGCCCTTTCCCGGCTCTCTCCTCTAACGCCTTCTGTTTTCTGATGCTTCCTACGCAATCTCCTGCTATAAAACCTGTTCCTTCCTTCCTACTGCTTTTCTCACACCTCCACCAGCCACAGCCTCCTTGCTCTTCTGCAGAAAACTGGTAGCACGCTCAGCAGCCAAGACCTTTGATTTGGTTGTTTCTCTGCTCAAGGGTTCTTTGAACAGGATCTAGCAAACATGATTTTTACTTTACAGGCCACATAGGATCTCCACTGCACATGCTTCAGTTTGTATTCTGTTACTGTTACCATTGCCATGAATGTTTCTGAGTCATTTTTTTTCCTATCATTCAAACAGGATTTGGACCAGCAAGCACATACTATGGCTGCCTTTTTACTTTTCCATCAAATATAAGTAGAATATCAATCAGGCATGGACATTTGTTATGTAAGTGTCCAGGAAGAGGCTTTTTTAGTGTATATCACCTGATCAATTCCCCTTCCTTTGCACTGAAGAATGATGACTTCCAGGAGTTTGGCGGCGAAGCACTCAGCGTCCTCTCCTGCCTCTCCATACAGTACCTAGAGTGACAAGTTAGCTCAGCATGAATGCCAGAGGAAGGAAACCCCTTCAATTTCAGCCATAGAAATAAGAGGCAGAGGCAACTGGATCTCTGTTAGTTCTAAACTAGCCTGGTAAAAAAAAGTGAGTTCCAGGCCAGCCAGAGCTTCACAGTGAAACCCTGTCTCAAACAGAATATTGGGGATGGGAAGGACCAAGAGAGATGTCTCAGTAGTTAAGAACACTGGCAGAGGACCAGAATTTGTTTCCCAGCACCCACACTGTGGGGCTCATAACTACCTGTAACACCAGCTCCAGAGGATCTGACACTTTCTTCTGGCCTCCTTGAGCAATACACTCACACACATACAAACACATACACATAAACACACACATACATATACAATCACACATACAAACACCCAAACACACACATACAAACACACATAAACACACACATACACAATCACACAAACACATACAAACACACAAACATACACACATACACATACACACATACACATACACACATACACATACACAAACACACACACACAAACACACACACAAATACAAACACACACACATACACAAACATACACATACAAACACATACACACAAACACACATATACACAAACACATACAAACACAAATATAAACACACAAACACATATACAAAGATACATACACATAAACACACAAATACAAGCACACACACATACACACACACGCAAACATATACACAAACACTCAAACACTCACACGCATGCAAACAAGCACACACACACAAACACACACACACACACACATAATATCACACGAAAACACACATACAAACACAAACACACACACATACACGAACACACATACGACATACACAAACACACATACACATACACACACACACACACACACACACACACACACACACACTTACCTGAAGTAGGTAACATGACCTAGTCATCAAAACATTCTTAAGATATAACCAATAGAGGATTAAGATAACATAATGGAAAATCATGTCTGCATAAATGCAACAATAAATCATCACATACTGAACAAAGTATTGCTTCTGTAACTCTTACCATTGTTTTATGTTGCTTATGTTAAAATTACCTGTATCTAGGCACATAGGTAGCTTCCAATACACAATCAATTAAAAGTAAAAAGACAGATACCATTCTGTCACAGACTGACAAACTGTATGGTTAGTTTTCCCAGCACTTTAATTATAACAAGTTTATGTTTTTAAATTTTCTTTTTAATTGTATTTGTGTAAGGGTCTTGCTTCCATTTATATATGTGTATCAAGTACATGTCTGGTGCCTACAGAGGCCAGAAAAGGGTATCCAAATTCCCTGGACCTGGAGTCAGATGGTTGTGAGCCACCATATGGGAGCTGAGAACTGAACCTGAGTGCTCTTAGCCACTGAGCCACCTCTCCAGCTACCATTAAGTTTTTATTTTTGAAAGGAAAAAAAAAATGGAAAGAAAAGTAGCGAGCTGACCCTCCATATGCACAGGTTCTCTGTCCACAGATTCCACCAACCATAAGTCAGATGTTTTCTTAAAACTTGGATCTATACTAAATGTGTGCAGATTCTTTTTCTTGTCTCTACCTCTGACCCACACGGTTTAACAACTATTTATATAACACTATATTGTACTGGATGTTATTATAAAAGTGGGTTGGGTTCATGGTGAGATGTATGCTGGCTATGCGCAAAGACCATACTTGTTAGTTATGAGACAGGAGGATTCATGGGGTCTGATATCCATAGGGGTCCTGGAAGGGTCTCCATGGATACAGACAAATAGCTGTATTTACTTAAAATTTCAAAGTAAGTATGGGGCTGTAGAGATGGCTCAGAGGTTGAGAGCACTGGCTGCTCTTCCAGAGGTCCTGAGTTCAATTCCCAGAAACTACATGGTGGCTCACAACCATCTGTAATGAGATCTGGTCCCCTCTTCTGGCCTGCAGACATACATGCATGCATAATAAATATATCTTTTTAAAAAATTTCAAAGTACATAGATATTGAAGTGACATAAGTACAACACATACTGTGAAACTTTAAAATTACAACAATCACAAACTCACTTTTAAAATGAAGCTGATAAATCTATTCAGATAAAGTAATATAAACTAAACACCCAAACATTACGGAGAATCACATGACAACTGACAGGGTGCACTTACCTTCCTGCACATAGTGAACAAGACTTCTAAGTGCTTTGGATTTGACAGCAACGCGTTGGTGTCTACTGTCACATAATTATGCAGGAGGGGCATCATGTCTTGGGAAAGATCCAGAATCTCACTGAGACTCGTGCAACAGGAGCAGAAATGAATGATTCCCATTGGAACCACACTTCTCTAGCACTCAAATACTGTCTCCCTTAGCAGCCAAAAACTAAAAAGGACACGATATACCTGAAGGGAAATGCTTGTAGATTCAAGATACCTTTATTCAGATAAATACCAGCCAAAGGCAAGCCAGAGGGTGCTCAGGGGCAGCAAGGCAGGGAGGCCAGGGAGAAGGGGCAGCCGAAGGGGAAGAAACTGTTCCATGTGCTTGAGGTTGCTTAAGAGCCCATGCCGTGGTCACTCTGACCTCATCTTGACTACGCCTTGATAGGCGTGGTCAGGCACATCTGTAGCCAGCCCTTAGGAGGCGTGGTTACAGTGTCTCCCTACATATACCCACTCTATTTATGACTAAAGGGAATGCAGATGTGGAAGGTTAAAATGCTCACTGTTTATCAGAGTACTTCTGACCTTTCCTCTCTCTCACTGCACTCAGCACTACCTGGCACACAGCCAAGGCTCTCATTGGTTAGCTTTAGTACCTGACACACTGCCAAGGCTCTCATTGGCTGGTTTTGATACCTGACACACAGCCAAGGCTCTCATTGATTAGCTTTAGTACCTGACACACTGCCAAGGCTCTCATTGGCTGGTTTTGATACCTGACACACAGCCAAGGCTCTCATTGATTAGCTTTAGTACCTGACACACTGCCAAGGCTCTCATTGGCTGGTTTTGGTACCTGACACACAGCCAAGGCTCTCATTGGCTGGCTTTAGTGCCCGACACACTGCCAAGGCTCTCATTGGCTGGTTTTAGTGCCTGACACACTGCCAAGGCTCTCATTGGCTGGCTTTAGTGCACCTTTGTTATCACCCCCCACCAGGATGAAAACTAGCAAAGGGCTGAAGCTGTCCCCTGCTGGATTGCTGGGCTAAGAACAGTGCTTAGGACATGGCTGTGCTCAGAAAATATTTACTCAATTAACAAATGGCTACATGCTCTGGTTGCAAACTAACATAAGAAAGGAGACAAACAAAACTTCCTTTGCCTATCCTAAGGGCTGAGACACTGGTATAATCACTGTCCCCATTTCCTGGACAGTAAAATTAAAACATCTGATTAGTACTGAGGGTGTCTAGAAAGAAAGAAAAACTGTAGTATGATCATTGCATGCCTGTGAAGTACTCAGAGAAAACCTGCTGGAAAATTTCATATAAAATGCCCAGGAGATGCCACATCTGCGGGGAGATGGCATGGCAGGTTAAGATGAAGGCCAGGGAAAGGATTTCTTCATAGAATTCTAGAAGGAAAAACACTTTAGTTAGAATGTGAGGGAACAGAAAGATTAAAGGGATCACATAGAGGACTAAAGCACATCCCTCCCATGTGCCACGGGATTTCCTGAACACCTTCCTCGGTGGCATCAGCCAGAGAGGCTGCCTTCAGCTCTTAACTAAGATCAACCCTCTGCTCAACAACACAAGGCAATGGTCTTCTCATAGTACTGAAAGAAAAAAAAACTTAAAGTTTCTATTTTAGGCCATGTGCAGGGGCACTGGCCTTTAATTCCAGCATTCTGGAGGCAGCAGCGAGCAGATCTCTAAGCTCAAGGCTAGCCTGGTATACGTGGCAAGTTCCAGGAAAAGCCAAGGCAGCATGGTGAAATCTTGTAGAGGGAAAAAAAAAATCAAATTTCAGCCAGGCATAGTGGTATACACCTTTAATCTCAGCACTCAGGAGGCAGAGGCAGAGGCAGGTGGATCTCTGGAGGCCAGCCTGGTCTACAGAGTGAGTTCCAGGACAGTCAGCACTATATAGTGAGATCCGGACTCAAAAAAACAAACAAACAACAACAAAAAAATCAAATTTCTATTTTATAACAGAAAATAAAATTTCTATCTATAACTTTATATTGTAAATGTGTAGGAGAACTATATTAGCATACTTCTATCATGTAGATTCAAAATGTATAAACCATTAGTAATATCTCTAGATAGCTTAATGATACAGAGATAATATGTATTACTATCTCACTTATAGTTTTACCAACAACTATAAAAGATATAACATTTTCTTCAAGTTATAGAGCTTATAGTTTGAGCAGTATTCTTTAGTTTACTTTACAATACTTTATACCACTATAAGTAAAGAGGCCCAAAGAAATGTTCTGTATTCATACACACATTCACTACTCTCAGTCAAAAGAAAACCATATCTGCCAGGTGGTGGTGGATCACACTTTTAATCCCAGCACTCGGGAGTCTCAAAAAAATGAAAGAAAGAAAGAAAGAAAGAGGAGGGAGGGGGGGAGGGAGGAAACCATATCTAAATATCCCACCAGAAAACACATAGCTCTTATCTCTGAGCAAAGACATCTAACTTCTAAGCTCTGCCTTTTCTCATGAAAGCAGCTAGTACATACCTTGGAAACTCAAAGCTTTTCTGCTAATTCATACTAAAACATTTGTCTAGTTTTGTGCACTTTACAAGTCCCAGATAAACTTCACCCCTCCCTACTTCTCCCCATCCTCCCCCTCTTTCCTTCTCCCTCTCTCCCTCTGCCACTTTTTCTTCTCCACGCCTCCACACTCGGATCTCAAATAGCCCAGGCTGGCCTCAAAGTCACCTTCTGATCTTCCTTCCTCCACCTGAGAAGTGCTGAGAATTCAGGCAACAGTCACCATGTCAGTGTATGTTGGTGCTGGGAACAAATCCCAGGGCTTCCTGCCTGCCAGGCAAGCCCTCCACCAACTGACCTCTCGGCCCAGCTCTGCTTGAGATGTAGGTATTACATTCTCCATTCTTTAAATTTCCTTAAACCAAAAATTCTTCTCTGGACACATTAAGAGTTCACCACTGAATGAAAATATACCTAGCTAATATCAGAAAGCTGAGCCTCAAATTTAAGGAAAGCAAGCTCTCCTCTCTCAAAACTGTGTACCTCACTAAGTTTAAAGAGCTACAAAAATGTACTTTTGAATTCATCAAATGGAAAAAGAAATCTCAGTTTACCTTTGATCTGAACTTACCAATGACACGCTTCTGTAAAACAAGATCGATGATTCTCAGACAGATGTTCTCCAACTGCTGTATGATCTAAAGACAAATTTTATAGAGTCTAAAATTCACTGTGAGTATTCTAAGGTTATCATACAAATTAATATTATCCCAGTGAAATATCTACAGCTATTTCTGAGAGGAGAAGCTGTAATCTTCATGTGAAAATTAAATATGCAAAAATACAAGAAAATTCTGAAAGGAGACCAATGATAGGAAGGGGAGTTAAATCCATGGAAAATTAGAATTAGATACTTCCTTACCTCATATTCTACACTAAATGAATTTCTAATGGATCAATGATTTCTATGTAATAAAACTATAACACAAAAATACCAGAAAAAGTAAAAGAATCCCTATGTAACCATAAGGAAGTAAAGAAAGTCACAACCAAAATAAGAAACCACCTGACTGCAAAACTATCAAGAACTTGTGTACAAGGGCAGGAACAGATCAAGACAGATGGCAAATGGACTGGAATATTGTCAAGTGGTATCACAAACAACACCAAATTCCCCTTATACTTGAAATCTAACAGAAAAATCTGACAGAAAAACAGCTAAACCTACTTAACAAACAAACAAACAAAAGTGTCTCAGGGTCATAAAGAGATGGTCACTGTCACACATGACTGGATATGACACTGAGGTTGTGTCAGAAGTGAGGGTAGGAAGACGGGAGCTCTCATCTGGGGATTACACACCAGAATGTAATCTCAGCCAACAATATCTCCTCAAGGAATTCACCCACAGACACTCCTCACTCCAGCTACAGGACATGGATAAGGCCATTCAGTGCAACAGTATCTGTGACTGTAACAACCAAATGACGGTGTCTACTCACTGCAGACTGGCTGTAAATGTGATATACATACAAGAGAATATTTTTAAAACTATATGCTTACTGACTGATACGGAAGAATCACAGGATACATTAAGTAAAATTTGTCAGTTAAAACAACAGTATAATGTTGTTATGCCATCGTCATCAGGTCAGCCGTGACTGCCTACAAGAGTCAAGAGTCCATCAGGAGAAGGCCTGTCAACTACTGACATTCCTCATACAAGGAGGGTATGACGAGAATCACTGGACCCAAACTTGAGAATCCTTCCAGTCATAAATATTCAATTCTGCCCTAAATGCATATGGCTTTGGGGACTTGGGGAGGGGCTAAAGTATATAGGCTGAAGTAGGGGGAGGGGTAACTGCAGAGGACCTCTGTTTGTGAGGAAGCCAACATCCATGCTGTGAAGACATCCCAGTGCAGCTACTTGAGGCTCACCCACAATTGTAACATGTCTTTTTTTCTCTGTCTTGCCAGCTCCCAAATAAAGTCACAAGAGACTTCTTATTAACTATGAAAGTTTGGCCTATAGCTTGGGGTTGTTTCTATTTCTTTTAACTTAAATTAACCCATTTACATTAATCCACGTTCTGACACGTGGCTCATGGCTGTTACTTCTCCCCCTGCACATCCTGCTTATGCTGCATTTCCTGGCATCTCCACCTTTCTTCTTCCTAGAGTCCTCTCTGTCCCCAGAAGTTCCACCTAACCTCTTCCTGCCGAGCTACTGGCCATTCACCAGTCACAATGACACATCTTTATACACAGTGTAAAAGTGCAACATGCATTGTAAGCCCAATAAACTAAATGATTCTCCCGGGTACAAACTCTGGTTTGTCAAAGGGACCTTAGATTGAGGGAGGTGGATGTGGTTCACACTCCTCCCCCAGGGAAGGAATTTTAGCAAAATCCTCATGATCATCTTCATGAAAGACATATACGTGCACTCACTTTTTACTAGTGTGGCAAAAACAAATAAATAAATAAATAAATAAATAAATAAATAAATAAATACACCTGATGAAAACTACCACTCTGGGAAGAGAACTGGGTTAACTGAAGAACCCAATAAACAGTGAGTTTAATTAAGTATATCTTCATGATTTCAATTATTCAATATTCAATACATGCAGACAGTCTCATTGTATAGCCTGGCTGACCTAGAACTCACTATCTACACAGGAGATCTACTATAGTAGACCAGGCTAGCCTCAAATTCAGAGATACACCTTCCTGCCTTTTCTTCAGAGACTAACTGCCGTATCAGGTTCTTTTTTGCCCCAAGACAGGGTCTCACTATGCATCTCTGGCTGTTCCTAGAACTCACTCTGTAGACCAGACTGGCCTTGAACTCATAGAGATCTGCCTGCCTCTGCCTCCCAAGTGCTGGAATTAAAGTTGTACAACAGTATTCCTGGCTTTTGTATCAGGTGTTTTATAAATGAATAAAATTTAAAGTCAGTAGTGAGATACACTTTCGTGTCAAAGTATAATTCAACCTTAGAACATATTCTAATATGCAATTTTAATTTTATTTTGGACATTTCTTATTTAACTGAAATAATCATTTGTAGGTACAGTTTGATAACTTGATAAATGTTAAACTATTATTTTGAAGTTCAAATGATCCAAAAGCTAGACTCTATTGATATCCTTAAAACATCAGATAAAAATGAACCTGCTTGAGTACCTATTTTCAGATTTCCAATTTTGCCCTTTCTAAGTAACCATTGGTATGTTTTTCTCTGAAAGAAGTATGGCTTCCAGAGTTCACTTTCACTGAGTGAAGTTCAAAGTTAATGAATGGGGCAGGAGAGATATCTCAGCAGTTAAGAGTGGGTTGGAAAATCTCATGTGTGACAAGATCTAGACCTGTAACTAGTTACAGGTTATAACTAGTTCAGTTCACAGCACAGATGTCAAGCAGTGCACAACTACCTGTAGTAACTCCAGCTCCTGGGTAGACAATGCACCTTCCAGGGGCATCCATGAACATGTGCACATACCCACATGTAGACACACGCACACATCTGTAACTAAAATACACATATATTTATGTAACAAGGAAGAAAGAGGCCATAAATGTGAAAAGGAGTAAAAATGGGGGTTTGTGGGAGGGTTTGGAGGGAGGAAAGGGAAGAGAGAAATGGTGTGATTATATATTATAAGCTTCAAAAGAGCTAAGTAAGAACAGGTGACCAGGAGGCCAGATGGCAGCCAGGTGTGCCAGATCTCAGGCAGGTTTGCCTCTAATTGTGCTGAAGGTTTTACATTTTCATCTCTAGACAGGAAGCCAGATGTGATTTTCTTAGTGTGTCTCAACTTTAACTCATGTCTCCTTTGATAATTATGGTTAACTCTGAATGCTCAACATTAGTTGAAGTTCAAAACAATTCATATCAAGATCAAAAAAGATTAAGCAAAAGGCAAAATGCCATTGTTTCCAAAATAACCCTGCAGTTTGCTCTCCTCACCATACCCATACTTGGGGAAACTGAATTTAGTGATTTCTCAGGTCTCATGAAATTGAAAATACAAGGTGAAAGAAGTATAGTTAGCTTAAAGTATAGCTATTCTAAGTTAATTTGGACTATACTCGCTGTTACCAAGAAGACCAGAGTCAACATGGAAACACAAAAATAAAACGAATATGGAAGTTGAAGCTCACATAAAGCCCTAAGTCGCAGGAGGGTCCAGTGGAGTAATGTTGCCCTACTCAGAGTAACACTGCAATATCCCTTGATTGCCTTACAAACGGATGAACCTGTAGTCACATGGCTAACAGCACACTGTAAAAGAGCTGGTACCTGCTTCCAAACCCTCGCTGACTGAGCAGATCTGACGTCATTGCCAACACAAGCAGCCTGTGTTCACAGATGCAACAAACACACTGCTAATCTTCACTAAGGAAAGGCCATGTTCCCCTTGGAAAGGAGAACCCAGGGGGACTGTGGGTTGGAAAAGCCAATGTGTGACAAGAGTGGCCCAGTGACAAATCTAGACCTAAAACTAGTTATACGTTATAACTAGTTATAACTGGTTATTGTGACCAGGTACAATAACCCTAAACATTTCTGTCTCTGCAAAGGAGACTCCATTACCTATCGGCATTCTTCCGCCAGCTAAGGGGTGAGCACTGAACAGAAAGTCCAAACTCTTACCCCTGGGCCTTTGATGTGACTGACTCAGTTGGAGTGATTGCCTGGCAGGCAGAAAGACCTGGGTTCCATCCCCCAGCACTGCATAAAAAGCATCTGATGATATATACCTGTTTTGTCCCAACATAAGGGGAAAGGTAGGACAGGAGGATCAAGAGTTGAAGGCTACAGAGTAAGTTTGGGGTCAGCCTGGGTGACATGACACCCTGTCTCAAACAGTTAATTCTATCACTCGGTGTTCCTCTAGGATTTGGATGTCAAGTTCTTGTTTACCTCTCCATTCTTACTGCACCTTCCCCACTAAGATTAGACGGTGGGTTTCTAGAAGGCAAGTCCCTTATTCTATTCTATCTGGAAGTCACAGAAACCCAGCCTGGCACACAGTAGATACGAGGACCTGGACTCAGATCAATACAAAGGCTTATATCGATTACTTTCAATAAATGTGAAACTCCCCTCCTCGATCATCTTAACACATGACTTTAAAGTTTGAGAGAAATTCAATTTATTTGTCTGTGTGTTTGGAGAAAGGATTTCACTACCTAGCCCAGGCTGGCCACGGACTTGAAATCTTCCTGCATAAATGCTGAAGTGAGAACAATTTTTAAAATTTACCAATATAACTAAACATAAATCTTTAATACCAAATCTTGAGGATGGTGATACAGATAAGGAGGTAGAATCACGGGTCACAGTGCTGGAGAGATAGCTCAGTGGTTAAGGGTGCTTGCTGCTCTTTCAGAGGACCTGGGTTTGTATCCCAGCACCCAGGTCAGGTGGCCCACAACTGCCTATAACTCCAACTCCAGGAAATCCAATGTCCTCTTCTGGCCTCTAATGGCACCCCCACACATGTGCACATACAGTCAATATAAACACAACAAATACATAAATTTAAAAAATAAAGGGCAAAAAAACATTTGCAAACAGACTCCTAAGAGCTGTCCTCTGACTTCCGCACACATGCCATGGCTAGCGCACATACACACCCCCAAACTAAAAAGACTAGAATTCATAACCACTGGTCATATAAATTTCGGTTAATATAACCATATAATAAAACACAAGGAATCCCACCTCATGGTGATCTTCCACAACTGTTAAGATGGTGTCGATAGTATGTAAAATTCCCATAGCCATGACAGTTTTGTCTTCGACTTCTTCATACTCATCACTTTGAAGAACTTTACCAAATATCTCAGCCTGTAAAAATGACATTAGAACACTCACTGGCTGGTACCATTGCACCATGGTGGAGGGGCAGTGTTGTACACCCAGATGCTAATGTTTCTCAGACACTAAGTTCTAACACTTTGGTGACTGAATCGCCTTTTTTCTTGCAATGACAGATCATGTCAACACTTATATGAACATCCCTCTGCACTCATTGTAGTCACTGACATGAGACACATAGTAGCTATTATAACCATGGACTAATATTTACTTAACTTCTAGTTATCTTTAGACGAAATCGAAATCTAGAAACACTGAAAACCAGTATGTCTAAAAGAAAAGATGTGACAGAACATTTAGAAGATGAAATCAAAGATCACTCAGAGATTAAACAAAGACACAGACAAAAAGAGGAGAAAAGGCATGAGAGTGGGACTCAGTTCCAGTCTGATTGTCTGCATTAAGAAGTACAGAAGAGGGGAGAAGACAATAGGAACATTTTTATCAAAGAGGCAGCAAAAAACATTCTCCTGGACTGGCAAGATGGTTATTTGGAAAAAGGCACTTGTTACACCAGGTTGGTGACAGGAGTTCAATCCTCAGAACACACATAAAGGTGGAAGGAGAAAACCAACTCTACAGAGTTTTCCTCTAACCTCCACATTCTGCATCACACACACAACACCATGTACATAAACAATAGAAATAACTTTTAAATTTTCCAAAGAGGGGAATTGAAATTCCAATTCCAAGTGCAAAAGGAAGAGTTAAGGTAGCTCACATCAAGAGTGTTATTATGGCATTTCAGGATTTTACAGGTGAAAGGGACTGTCTTGAATGGGGTTGATTTAAGGCTAATCAACCCAACCTCAGGAACATCTTAATCACTAAGGCAAATACTTTCATATTAAGATTGTTTATAAATAAATAAAACTCAATTCCAAATTCTGAAGTTTAATTTATTGGGGGAGGGGCATTATTTAGATTCCTTGGGGCTGTTTTTTTGTTTTGTTTTGTTTTTAAATGTGTGTAGGTGTTTTGCTTGCATATATGTCTATATACCACACACATGGCTGATGCCGTGGAGGTCAGAAGAAGGTATGAGATCCACTGGAACTGGAATTACAGACAGTTGTGAGCTGGCATGTGGGTTCTTTACAAAACTAGTACACACTTAGGTCATTCTTACTGTTGCTTTGCAAATATTTCTTCGTAAAGAGAGTGGAAGGGAAGAGGAAGGTTTATAAGACTCAGGAAGCAAACAAAACTTAAGAAGGTTCACAAAGGGAATTCAGAAAGTTCTTAAGATTCACAAGGCTCCTCTCCAAATTATAAAGACAGCAAGTGCTGGGGAGAGAGTGAGTTGCCTCAAAGTTACGCAGGGAGGCTTCAGGGATGCAGTTTTCATAGTTGCCCATGTACGAACAGGCTTTTCAGGGATGCAGTTGCCTTGTGAGTGACACTCTCCTGTGAGTCACCCCAATAAGCTCACTGGTTCACCAAGCTAGATTTGAATAGGATCATTTCTTTAGTCTGTCACCAGTGCCCTATTTGGAGTGAACAGAGGCTTGTTCAGCCTCCCCAGTGGAAGTCCTCCAACACTTACCAAGTGCTGGGTTGTGTCGACAGCGATGGAGGCCACCTCCTGACTGTACTCACATATCATCTTCTGGACGACGTTGGTGACATCATCATTCTCCGTCTCCCTGACAATGTGCAGCAGCTCCTGCATGATGGGCCTCACATGTGGTCTCATGTGCTCCTTGGCTAATGCAGGCAGATAAATGACACAGCAAGAGTTGGGAACTCACACACTCTGACTCCTAGATAAGGTTCTAGATGCTGCTGTGCTGTGCTGTGCTGAGCAAGTCCCAAAGCTGTATTGAGTAAAGACCTCCTGAGGCCACACAGCATCAGGGTGGGGAAGAGCTGTCCTACCCCAAAGGCCAACAGCTCTGTATCCTCACCCTGAGAAATTCCAATTACACAAACGTGTCGTCAGCCTGACTGTGGGTCCCCATGACCAGTGTGAGAACTCCTGCCCACGGCCGCCCCCCCCTGCCCCTGTCCTGCCCGTCTCTACCCACCTCTACCCACCTCTACCCAACCCAACCCCAGCACATGTTTACACCTCATCCAATCTTCCCAACAAGACAGGACACAAGCTCATGTTCTCGTAAAGCTGAATTTACTTGCAGAGGCTGTTTGGATCTTGAACAAACAAACAAAACACCTGTGTCACTGCCCACTGGAAATACCACTCACTACTTTCTGAACTGGTAGAACCACAGAGACCCTGGAGTGGAATCTTGGTGCTGCCCAATCTTACTCCTTGAACTGAGGCAGGAGGAAATGAAGGCTGACAGGGTCAGAGCCTCGTCAGCTTTGTAAGCTTCAGACAGGAAACTGGATGCCTTTCCTGCTTCATGTGGCCAGTCAGAGAGCACCAAAGCTGGTCCAGGTGTCTTAAGGCCCAGCTCAGTACCCAGCAATTATTAACTGGAAACCACAACAGAGCTGCTAAATAGGCAAAGAAAGTGCCTACAAAATTCAGAAGCAGGCAAGGAATCTAAACTCTGGGCCCTTGGGACTAGAAATCTCCTCCTTTAAGGAAGGAAGTGGATGAGATTATTTTAGGCCATTTATTGAAAAAAAAAAGTAAGACCCATGGGAATCACCTTGAGTCTGGTTAGAGATCAGTGACTGCAGCGCCAGGGCAGCTTCCACCTTGACGGGCATCTCCTCGTCTTCAATCAGGCTTTTCTTCGCTAATTCAACTGCATTTCTGAGGTTGAGCTCGTTATGAAATTTCAGGGAACTAAATGCATGCAGCACCCAGCAGGACTGCAATGAGAGATGGGGACAGTGACTGTGATGACAATGCTGTGTGACAGTGTCAGGGGACGGTGACTGGGATGACAGTGCTGTGTGACAGTGTCAGGGGACAGTGACTGTGATGTCAGTGTGGTGTGACAGTGTCAGGGGACAGTGACTGTGATGTCAGTGTGGTGTGACAGTGTCAGGGGACAGTGACTGTGATGTCAGTGTGGTGTGACAGTGTCAGGGGACAGTGACTGTGATGTCAGTGTGGTGTGACAGTGTCAGGGGACAGTGACTGTGATGTCAGTGTGGTGTGACAGTGTCAGGGGACGGTGACTGGGATGACAGTGCTGTGTGACAGTGTCAGGGGACGGTGACTGAGATGTAGTGACTGATGACAGTGCTGTGTGACAGTGTCAGGGGACAGTGACTGATGACAGTGATGTGTGACAGTGTCAGGGGACAGTGACTGGGATGGCAGTGCTGTGTGACAGTGTCAGGGGACGGTGACTGGGATGACAGTGCTGTGTGAGTGTCAAGGGACGGTGACTGTGATGACAGTGCTGTGTGACAGTGTCAGGGGACGGTGACTGGGATGACAGTGCTGTGTGAGTGTCAAGGGACGGTGACTGTGGGATGGCAGTGCTGTGTGACAGTGTCAGGGGACAGTGACTGGGATGGCAGTGCTGTGTGACAGTGTCAGGGGACAGTGACTGGGATGGCAGTGCTGTGTGACAGTGTCAGGGGACAGTGACTGGGATGGCAGTGCTGTGTGACAGTGTCAGGGGACAGTGACTGGGATGGCAGTGCTGTGTGACAGTGTCAGGGGACAGTGACTGGGAGAAGAGCGGTCTGTGAGTGTCAAGGAGCAACCATGGTATGACAGCACCCTGTGACAATGTCACACATGGAAAGTTTTTAACCAAATCATCACATTCACTTCAGAAACTACCCTACAGGTGAGATCTTAAGATGCGTAACAGAGGTAAGGAAAACTTACTCTAGCTCGAAGATATCCCAGGTTAGACAATAATAATGGAAACACATGATTCTGTAGAAAGAGTTCAATTTGGTCCTTGAATAAACTCTTCTGTTAAGAAAGAACAGAAAGCCAATTTTAGCGGCCAATGATGCCACCATATGGGAGAGCCACTTCCCAAAAAGTGTGCTTATGATGACTTGCATTTCATACCCAATTTTGTAAGATTGTTTGATCCACACATCACATCGTTAAAATAGTATCTTACTCAGGAATAGTATCTTAGAACAATTTTTATATTAGTTGGTTTTTGTAGATAGAAGGAATTATACTAAAATCATTTCAGATCTTTCTTACAGAGCTATAGTTTCAAACTGGTAAACTGGCAAAAGTAAATTTTCTTTTTAGCTAAGAAAGTAAGTGACAGAGCTGGTGAGATGGCTCAGCAAATAAAGATGCTGCCACCAAGCTAATCACCTGATTTTGATCCCCAGGATGCACAGGGAGACAGGAGAGAACTGACTCCCAACCCCACAGGTTGTCCTCCGAACTCCATCCCTGTGTGGTGGGGCACACACGCAAAGGGACATGCACACACACTCAAAGTAAGTGAATAAAATATAGTGATGAAAGCTTTTCCTTCTTCTGTTGGGGGGAGAGAGGTCAAAAGGGTGGGGAGTAGACTTGGGAGGACTGGGAAGTGAGTGTGATTGGGGTACATGACGTGAAATTCCCAAATAATCAATAAAAATGTTACATTGGAAAAAAAGATAATAAAGATACTTTTAAAACCCAAACATAAAATAAGAAATGTATATTTTTAAAAAACGTATGTAGGTTATAAAGGAAAGGATATTTACATTAAAGCCAATCAATTAGAATTAGTCACCAAGAATTTTCAAGCTTTGGTTGGCTTGAGCCAATTCACAGCTTAAAGTCAAGTCTTGATCATCTGAGCTGGGAAAACGGCTCATTTGGCGACATGTCCGCCACACAAGCATGAGGCCCTGAGCTGAGATTCCCAAGCGGGGCCAGGAGTAATGGTGTACCAGTGCATATCTGTGATCCAAGCGTGGGGGTGATGGGGAGGGCAGCAACAGGCAGATCCCCAAAGCTCAATGGCCACAGTCTAGTACTTGGTAAGTTCCAAGCTAATGAGAACAAATACATAGCAGCTAGAGAGATAGCTCAGCAGTTAAGAGCACTGGCTACTCTTCCAAAGGACCCAGGTTCAGTCCCACTACTCATTTGGTACCTCATAACCTCCAGCGAATCTGACATCTTCCCCTCGCTTCTTCAGGCACCAGGCATGCACTGTACACAGAGTACACAGTACACAGTACACAGAGACACATGCAGACAAATACCCATCATACATATAAAGTAAAATAACAAAAATGAATAGTGGAGAGCCATACATACAGACAGCTTACTCTGGCCTCTAAACCATGTGTGTGTATACACATGAACACACACACTATCACACATACACTACACAAATACCCTCTAACATATGAAAAAAAAAGGAGATTGATAAGTCTTAACCTTCAACAAAATCTCAGCCAAGGAACCAATCACATGCAGGGCTCCATCTTTCTTCCTAGGGTCAAAGTTCGGGTCTGTTAGTATCTGGTAACAGAACGCCATCATTTTTGGCAACACCTAAAGAAACAGAAGAATCCATTTCAGTCCGCACCAGTCTCCATCTTGTCAACACCACGTTAAATATGACACACATTTTCAAATTTAATTTTCAAAATTAAAGCCATTTTACTGTGCTTTATTCATCAACTATGAGCTCAAGATGAGAAAGGTGTCAAAGATACTTCGACCTTTTACTTGTAAAAAAAAAAAAAAAAAAAACCTATTTAAAGTGATAGGCTATAGGTAATGATATGAACTGTTAAATACTGAGGGCATATCAGAACGTCAAAGCAACATTAGCTACTTTTCATTTCCATCCACTGGGTACCTCTTTCCTCTTCTTCGCAGCTGTGTACAAAAGGGCTTGGGCTGCAGTGGTGGGAGAAGCATAATCTTCAAAAATATCTAAAATGTCAAAATAAATCTTATTAATAAAAAATAAACTCTTTATTATGCAAACTTTAAACCTGGCCAGTGGATTACACAATAAAGATGTCATGGTCCCAGAGTTTTCATGCACAATCTAATTTATGATTTAATGTTTAGCAAACACCATGTGCTCAACCTTTCAAGTGGTAAGATTAAAGAAAAGCAATATAGCTCAGGTATCTGAGCCACCTTGTGGGTGCTGGAAACCAAATCTGGATTCTCTGGGAGAGCAGCCAGTTCTCTTAATTGCTAGCCATCTCTCCAGCCCCAGTTGATGAAGTTTGTAAATAGTCACTATAGCAAACAAGCTGAGAGCAAACACGAAAGGGTTTTGTTTATTATTGTATTATAACGTAAAGATGCCAGAATTAAACCAGATGGTGGTGGTGCACGACTTTGATCCCAGCACTCAGGAGGCAGAGACAGGTGGATCTCAGTGAGTTCCAGGCCAGCCTGGTCTACAAAGCAAGTTCCAGGACAACCAGGACAGTTTCACAGAGGAACCCTGTCTGGAAAAAGCCACCAAAAAGAAACTATTAGTTGGTGAGGGAAATACTATCCCTGGTGGAATGCGTGGCCCAAGGAAGGAGAAAGCAAATCAAGCCTGAGGTGCTTCTGACATGGGCAGGGACCCAAACCATTCGGCAAGGGCCTTAGCTCTGCCGCAAGAGATGGATAAGGCTTCTTGTGTCTCTGGCACCCCAGGGCATCAAGCACCTTGGTGCAAAATAACATGAGACTTTTCTGAATTTCTGAGTTCACCAGACAGAGCAAATTAGTCGTATTTATATATCCAGAAAGTGCTGAGGGAAAATTCAATTACCAAACTTCATCCTTATGTATTCATATGGATCTTCTTGCCACAGCTCTTCATCCTCATCTTTGTAACACATCACAGAGAAAATCACATCTTCAGAGATGTTCTAAGGTGAGAAACAAACAAAAGAGTTGGGGACAGGCCATCCCGACAAGACTCCCGATATTAGTTTTCCCCAGAGTTACAGTGAACCTTCTCAGCCTGCATTCACATCCAGAGAGGACAATAGCTGAGACTCGAACTGACTGAACACTTAGGAGTTGGAGGCTAGAAGCAGAGAAGTGACGCTCCCTGAAGTGAGGACAGGAACAACAGACAGAACTTCACTGACAGGTCAACTTTAAACACACCGTGATATCTTGTGAAGAAAAATGCCACCAGGATTATATTTACTATTATAGTTCTCATGTTGAAAATATTTCATGTGTCCATGTTGGTCCAAAGCATCAAAACATCAACAATATTTGTGTCTTCTCTGCTTCCATTTTCAAAACACCAGTACTCTACTCCACAGCTGTGTGTTTCAGACAGGAAGTTTCCTAAGCAGCCTCTGAACAGCAGCTAAGCTAAAGCAGGCCCTGTGTGTTCTGGTAACTCTCGCATAAAAATAGGACCGGGGCTAAGGGGATGGCTCGGCGATATTCCAGAGGACCTGGGTTCTATTCCCAACACCCACATGGAAGCTCTTAACCATCTAACTCCAGTTCTAAGGCATCCAAAGACTTTCTGGCCTCTTTGGGCACCAGGCATGCACACAGTTCACAGACAAGCATGCGGCATAACACCCATACATGCAAAATGAAAACAAATCTTTAAAAAAAAAAGGGGGGGGGACCATTTCTTATCACTTAGTTGAACTTCGGCCTAAATGTCAGTATTTTCCTGAAAGTTTTTATGCAAAAGCTATGTAAAAATAAGGCCAAAGGGCCCCCAACCTATCCCATCACTCCCTGCTTGATTCTTCCTGAGCCTCCCCCGGACAAGAGTGGACCTGCCCAGACAGGAAGGCCCACCCTGAGTCCAAACACATCTCAACCTTATCAACCCTCCGCCCTCTGCCCTCCTCCTGCCTTCTGAGAGGGGGAGAGACCCCACGTGCACCCACTGGAAGAAGGGATGGGAATATGACAGAATAAGACCACGTTCAACAACAGAAAAACCAATATAGCAAGAACCTGTAGGTTTAAGTTATCTTTATTCAGATAAACATCAGCCAAACGCAAGCCAGAGCGTACCAGGAGCGCAAGGCAGGGAGGCCAGAGAGAAGGGGCCTCCCATGTGCTCAAGGCCCCTTAAGAGCCCATCCCGAGTCATCCTGACCTCACCTTGGGAACTGGGATTGTCATGTAATTCAATCTTGTTTGTAATTCAAATATATAAAAAATAAAAAAACTAAAAATAAAGACAACAGTCAGCAAGACAAAACACCAGTCCACAGAATGGGAAAAGATATTCAACAACCCCACATCTGACAGACGGCTGATCACCAAAATATATAATGAACTCAAGAAGATAGCCACCAAAACCCCAAATAATCCAATTAAAAAGTGGAGTACAGAACTAAATAGAGAATTCTCAACTGAGGAATCTAAAATGGCTGAAAGACACTTGAGAAAGTGGCTCAACATCCTTAGCCATCAGGGAAATGCAGCTCAAAACCACTCTGAGATACCATCTTACTCCTATCAGAACGGCTAAAATCAAAAACACAATGACAGTCTATGGTGGAGAGGATGTGGAGAAAGGA